CACACACACACACACACACACACACACACACACACACACACACACACACAGCACATGCTCCTGACAGCATGGATCACCCCATATGTGAAGACCACATGCCCTGTACCTGGGGGGCGGGGAGCTTCTGCAGAGAAAAAAGAATGGCACACTGTCAGTGCCAAACTCTGGCACTGGCGGTGGCCAAGAACTTCTGACCAGGGACATCTAGGGAGAGCCAACGCGGTGAGAAGCATTTGAGAGACCAAAAGATTAAAAACCATCAGTTATTATTAATAAGTTTAAGGCCTGAACTAAGGCTAGCTGGGTGGAGAAGTCCAGCAATGCCTGAGGGGAAGAACTGCCTCTGTCTCTGTGTGTGTGTCTGGGTGTCTGTCTGTCCCTCTCCCTTTCTGTCTCTCTCTCTCTCTGCTTGCCAGCCTGAGGATCAGGATGTAGTTCTTAGCTACTTTTTCAGCATCATGCCTACCTGAGTACTGCCATGCTCCCTGCCATGAGGTAATGGACTAACCCTCTGAAACTGTTAGCAAGCTCCAAATTTTATGCTTTCTTTTATTAGAGACAGAGACACAAAGGGACACCGGGCCTGGCATGGGCCTTTGGAACCTCAAAGCCCAGTGACACCCTCTTCTAAGAAGTCTATACTTTTTACTCCTTCCAAACAGTTCTTCAGCTGGGGACAAAACATGCAAATGTGTGAGTCTGCGGGAGTCATTCTTACTCAAACCACCACAGCAAGTTATCATTTTTACATAATAAAGTCGCACTAATCCAGTACTACTTGTGCTGTTGATTAATGTGTTGTGCCAGAATCGCAATACCCCAAAAGACCACCACCAGGAGCCGTGTCTGTTGCAAACCACATGAGGATCTTTTTATTACAAATTACAAGCTGCAGCTCACCGAAGCGGTGAGAGCTGAGAGCACTGTGCTCAGGTTAGTTGGGTGATTTAAAGATTCTGGTCCCTCCCAGCATGCCCAAGGCAGGAGTGATTCCTGCCTGGCAAGCATCTATTGGTCAAATGCCACATTTTGAATTGCTTGGCTATAGGAAGGTCTCCAGACCATTAATGATCTGGTGTTCCTCCCTAGGGGGATGGGCCAGTTTCCTAGCAACTGTATCTCTAGTGAGTGGTGTCTCTTCAGAGCAATAGAACACTGACAAAGACAACTGGATTTAGAGAATATTAATCCTGGTTATATAAGAAACTCATTTACCTAATTAATGTCTTGCTTTTGTTATATGGTAGTAAACACAAGCTTTCCTTTGCCCCTGAGAAGGTGACCAGGGTTCCAAACTTTAAACATAGAGGCATTAAATGTCCTACTACCCAAGTGCTCATGCCAGTTCCCACAGAACAGAGGAGGGAGAGAAATCAGCCACTCACACTGACAAGCACTCCTTCCCAGAGCTCAGGTAGGGACAGTTCAAGGGTTATGTGGTTCTTCTTCATTTTTGGACTTAAGGACTAGTGAGGAATGTCAGATGAGACAAGAATCAAGCTGGGAGCTGGAGAAATGGCTCAGAGGTTAAGAGCACTGGCTGCTCTTCCAAAGGTTCGGAGTTCAATTCCCAGTTAACCATATGTCGACTCACAACCATCTGTGGCGAAATCTGGTGCCCTCTTCTGGTGAGCAGGAATATGTGCAAGGCAGAACACTGTATACATAATAAATAAATCTTAAAAAAAAAATAATCAAGCTGGGTGTGCTGGTGCACACCTTGAACCCCTGCACTCAGGAGCCAGAGGTAGACAGGTGCTGTGAGTTTGTAGCTAGCCTGGTCTGCACAGTGAGTTCCAGGCCAGCCAGAGCTCCACACTGAGACCCTGCCTCAAACAACAACCACCTTGGGGCTCAGAGATGCTCAGAGATTATGAGCACTGGCTGCTCCTTCAGAAGGCCAGGCTCTAGACCTAATATCCACATGGCAGCTCACAGTCTTGACTCCAGTTCTAGGGTATCTGATGCCCTCTTCTGTTCCCTGAGCAGAAGCACATACAGTGCAGTTACAGACAGGCAAGGAACACATTCAAACACGGGGCGCGACGGAACTGATCACCAAGGACCCGAGCACTATTCCGAATAGGAGAAACAACAAAGTTACTCACTCAACCCAGTGACAAATACCTGACACACCATGAAAACAGCAGAACTGTCAGGCTGTTTTGCACAGTGATGCAAGTCTGTGTTGTGCTTACTCTACATGTACGTCCAAAAATAACGTCTTGGACAGACAGAACTTGCCCTGTTGTACCATGGTGGAATTTTCAAATACTTTAAGAGAGCAAAAGGCTCCTGCCCATATATCAAGTCACAAGCATGCTAGTGCAAACATGACTCTGCCGTTCATCTGGTACTGCACAGGCTGGGGTACCGACTTGCTCTGTAAGCCGGTTATTACCAGTCCAAACGACTGTTACCAGCCAGAAAAGTTAACTACCTCTTCACAATTAAGAAGGTTCAGGAACAGAGGCTGGGAAGATGATTTCAGTAGTAAAACGCCACTGCTCTGTCACCAGTCAGAGCTCAGATCCCAGCACCTGTTTAAAAGCGCACTGCAGTGGCACAGGCCTGTATGAAACACTAGGAGGCAGAGACAGGAGGACCATCCCACCCACACTCTCGTTCCTGGCCCCCTGGCCAGACAGTCAAGCCAACTGGTGAGCCCTGGACTCCTGAGAGAGCCTGTCTCCAAAGACACCCAATGTTGACCTTTGGCCTTCAAGTCAGACCTGTGCATACACATGCGCTCACCCTTGCACGGGCAAACACACATATACTACTCATACATAAAACAAAAAATGAATTTTGTGGGATCCAGCAGTAACCTTTCAGGTTTGGTCCATTCAGTAAGATTTTCAGTTTCATGCGTGACCAAAACTAGTATTTAATTTTTTATTTTATCTTTAAATATAGGTGTTTTGCCTACAAGACTGTATACCACATATGTCCATGTCTGCTATCCTTTGAGTACAGAAGATGTCAAATGCCCTGGAACTAGAGTTCTAGATGGTTGTGAGGCACCATGTGGGTGCTGGGACTTGAACCCAGGTCCTCTGGGAGAGCATCCAGTGCTCTTATCTTTCCAGTACCCTTAAACCAGCTTTTTTTTTTTCTATATTACTAAAGGTGATTAAACCTAAGGTTGTCAAATAAAGCAAGTCACCCTGATCTCTGAACTGTTACTTCATTTAGCTGGTTAGCAGAACCAGACAAGCCAGACGGCCTTCCCTGGGCCTCTGGCAGTGAGTGTCTACAGCACTGGGTTTGCTCTTCCCACTCTGCACTGGCTGGTTCTGTTGAACGTAACAGCAACAGCAAGCACTGCTTCCTCTCTGTGTCAGCGTCTTGCTGGTTGTTAGTGACACTCTGAAGAAGGGTTACAGAGTTACAGTTACAGAGGCAGCAGCATCTTTTTTAAAGTTGAAGCTCTCAAAAGCAAAAACCAGACAGGAAGAAAACTCGATGTTTAAATAAGAACAGCCTTGGGGCTGGAAGCTGGCTCAGTAGGTTAAAGTTCTGATATGACCATGGGGACCTGGGATGGACCTCAGCACCTCAGGTTGTGAGCAAGGCTGTGCAGAATACACTTAGAAGTTCAGTGCTGAGAGGCAGAGACAGGTAGAACCCTGGGTCTTGCTGATCTCAGCCAAATCAGCAAAACCCAAGCTCAGCAAGAGACATGCCTTAAGGAACTAGATAGAAAGCAAGCAAGCAAACAACAAACCACCCTAAGTCAACCACACACACACACACACACACACACACACAGTGTTAATTAAAATGAGAGATTCAAAGAAAAAGAAAACAAGCAGGAGAGTACTGTATGAAATGTGAGAGGATTGTGAAGGCCAAAGACGCAGCTGAGAGAAAACCAGCACTGAAGAGAGCTCAGCTGTGCACAGCGCTGTTTTTCTATTGTTTGGGTTCTGTACTTCACTACATAGTACAGGCTGACCTGAGCGCTCTATGTAGCCAAGACTGGCCTTAACCCTGAAATCCTACATCTAGACCTACCCCACAAATGCTAGGATTGCAGGTATTCATGAGCCAGCACATCTAATTACAAAAATACTTGGAAAAGGGAGGAAGTCCAGGTGTCACCATGTAACGTGGTGGCCTAAAACTGCTATAAAGACTACATTCTTCTTGAACTCACTGGGATCCTCTTGGCCCTGCCTCCTGAATGCTGGGATTAAAGAATGAGCCTAGTGGTCATTACTATCAGTGAAATGAGAAAGAAGAAGCGATTTGCTTGACATTGTCACTAGAGGGTGCTAGAGTTAAAGGGAGGAAACAAGGACTAAAAAAGATCATTCTAATATATTTTGTCCTGGAAGAAGTGATTATATTTTTCTTTATGTAAAAACCTTCAAATACTCTTAGTAGTTAGATATTTAGTTGAGTTTATCAATATTTTGGAATTAAAAAGAAGTCGGACCTATCAGCTGTCATACTTTTAACACAGCAAAGAAATTGCCTGGAGAATTTTACAGATCCCAGAGGTCACCCCCACAGGACGGCAGATGCTGACCAGGCTGTGCGCTTAGGTCAACCAGTATCTAGAATCTGCCCGTTTGCCACAGGGCAGAGAACACATTTGCTGGGTAAATGCTTTAGGCCAATCAGGCTTCATTTGGTTCAGCTCAGCTATTATGTTAGACAGCATTTCATTTGTTGAGAAGAAGCTGCCAGGATTCTGGCTCATGATGTGTAGTCTTCTAAAATCTGGACCAGTTACAGCAAGAGCAGCTTTCTAGCTTCTCCTGCTTTACACACATATGCCACCCGCTGTCAGCATCCTGCTGAGGCTCAGGATGCAGAAGGACTGGCGACAGCTCTAAGCTCACAGGATCTTTTGCACAGGAATAACAAGGCTCTTTGTCTCTGAGCTGGAGCTTCATGTTCTCCATCAGTGTCTATGAAACCGAGGCTAACTTGTTAGCTTGCAGCTGGGTAAAATCAGTTCTCTACTGTACAGAGACCCTGGCAGGTGGGCTCTGTGATGCCCTGAGGGCCTTTCCTGAAATCCAAGGCAAGGGCCAACTGCTCTTATCAGTGTTTTCCTAAAGCTTCCTCATCACATTTTAATTTATTTACGGGGGTGGCACAAGCATGCTAAGACACACATGTGGAAGTCAGAGGCCAGGCTACAAGAGAGGATAATCCTCCAGTACTATGTAAGTCCTGAGCACTAAATTCAGGTCAACAGTGTTGGCAGCAAGCATCTTTACCTCCTGATCAGCCCCTTCAGTGATTGTATAAACATATAATGCCCCATTTTAATTTTATATCTGCTTTAAAAATAGTGTATAGTGTGGCCTTTATTTTCTGTACAGAAGCAGTAATGATAGACACTTCTACTATACTATGTCAGGCTTCAAAATACCATTATCTAGGAAGGCTCACAATAGGAAAATGTTATTTATCACCATTTGGAAGAAATACTTTTAATTGTTTCACTGGTGTCATAAAAGCACATCAGTATCTAAAGGAAAAAAAAAAAAAAGGCTCCTATGAAATGCAACCGTAACTACTGAGGAAGAGATTCACCAGAGACTCATGTGAACCTGCGACCCACTCTTCATTTTCTACTAAGCGTTCCTCACGCTTGACAGAGAGGTGTGATGCTAAATAAATAAAACACTAAGTTGAGCAAATATAGCCTTGGCACGTGCCAGCTTTCCCCAGTACCTCGGCCGTGGTGAGGAAAACCTTCTCCGTGATGTGCCTCATTCCACAGGCCACTACCCCAAGAGCAACTCCAGGGAACACGTAGGAATTGTTGCCTTGGCCAGGAAAGAGAGTCCGTCCATCTGGAAGAGTGACTGGATCAAAAGGACTGCCGCTGGCAAAGATTGCGCGCCCCTGCAACACAGACACACACGCTACTGATGACAAAGATAAGTGCAGTCTTTGAGAACAAACGCACTGTAACGGGATCACCCACAGGGGATCTAAGGAGTGTCTAACACGTAACTCCTAGTGAGCCCAGGTGCTGGGGTGCTGGTGCTGCCACGGGGTGGGATAGGGGCTGCCGGTCGCTGTTCTCTGTATTAACCTGCCCAGGGGTGGGCACAGCACAGGCTCCCCTAAGGCTGCCACTCTTTTCTCTGCAGTGGTCCAACCACAGGCCCAATAACCACATCTGTAGAGGCTTCCAACTACTGGTAGCTGAAGAGAAAATCAACAGGTTCCTAGAGGGTTCAAAATGGCACGCTGGGTTATAACTTTAATGTTCAGCCTCCCAGTACCTTTCCATGTTTTACAATACAGAGCATTAGGTAAGATCTTAAGAGCCAAGGTCATGTGTTTCCAACACACTGACAGTTTAAAACACAACTATATAAATGGAGCTAACATTATGTATGTTATGGCAGGAGCCTCTAAGCTAACAAAGACCACTGAGATACACAGAGACAAAATAATTAATTACACACTTGCTTATCAAGGGTCTCCTATGTGCAAAGTACTATACTACAATTCTGCTGCTGTTCAGAAGGCTATGTTTTCTCCCTGGTGGATTGAAAGCTACAGAAAAATGGAAAGAAAACTCAAGCTGTAGATGAGATAAAAGATTATCTGATGGATGGAGACTGATTGCCATCCCAGAGAAGAGAGAGAAACAATGGAGTGGCTCCTTGTCACAAACATCATTTGCTCCAGTGGTGAGCACCTGGCACACTGCTTCCTCAGTAGAGCCTTCAAGCTCTGGCTTGTATGCAGTGTCACAACTTTATGTTTTGTTTGCACTCTCTATATTTCCAAAACAAAAGTTTTAGATGCATGAAACTAAGCTTCATTTTTGTTATGATTTTTCTCAAGTCTTTGAAGAAAGCAAAAGGCTTTTTGCAAACCTATCAGTCAAATATATGTTACTACAAAAGCAGTATAAAATTAACTGTTATATTTTTACAACAGTGAAGTACTGAGCACTGAGGATTCTGTGCCAGTCTGGCTGGGTATCAGCAGAGCTGCCCAGATCCTTCTCCACCCATGGCATCACAACCCAAACCCAAAATTTAGCTAAGCAAAAATTAAACTGTGGTTTCATTTTGAATGCTCCAGTGCTTGGAAACAGCTCATTAAAGATATCTTCATAACCACCTAAAGCTAAGATCTTTCCCTTTGATTTTTTTTATATTTATATCTTACTTTTCAAGTCACTCCATGAAAGTTATCACTAAAATGTACAAAGTTGACTTATTTATTGAAGGTGAGAAAGGCGATTCAACAATGAAGAGGAGGAGGCGGTCACGCCTCTGGTCTCACACGTCTTTCACTGACGAAGTGAGTCTGATATCAGGAGTGTGTGATTAACACCTGGTGTAGACTAGGTTTCCTGTAAATTCACTTTGGGCATTCTAGGCTTCCTGCAATTACCCGACATTCACCTGGGTTGCTTTATAGCACTGCTCTGCAGAACACTCTGCTTTGCTGGTTGGATTACTCAAAGCAAAAATGATAGGGCGTTCATTGAAGGTAGCCATATCCTTGAGAATTTGTTCTGTGAAAGCACCGCCAACTGCAGCAACTCCTAAAAAGGAAACAAGAAACGGGATTAGGGCTGTCATTGGTTAGTTCATCCAAGAGGCTGAGGCCCCAAAACAATGAGATATGGCAACTCATTTCTAACAGGCCCTAAACAAAGTACAGAATGTTCACACAGAAGTCTAGTGATGAAACATTGTTGTCAAGGCCAATAATCTTTAGGGTTACAAATCAACAAATGCCTTTATAAATCACAGACAAGACACTAGACTCACAATACAGAAATCCTAGTCAATCCTAGAATTCTGGTTATAAGTGTTTGTGTCAGGAAATTAAACCATGTCTAACACGTTCTTCCTAAGGAATTTTGAGTAGAATATGTTAACTGTGTCTTTATAAGACAAGTTTAACTCTCATCTCATTCCACCGTGAAACTGAAACAACTACTTGCTGGAAGCAGAATAAAGCAACTAACATAATGAAGGTGAAAGGTAGCAAATTTACTGAAGGAATCACTGCATAAAACAAGACTGAAAGCTTTGTAAAGTTCTTTGTGATTCTGAATCATTATCCTCAATATTATCAACTATTACAACAGTGCTTCTCCAGTTACACACGATTGAAAGACGACGGGCATACACAGGAGTAGGAACAAACTGTCACAACTTCCTTTGAGATTTTCAGCACAGAAGTTAAACACATTAAGCATGCCAGCTATGCCTTTGTACAGCAGAGTCTCATAAGGCTTGGGCTGAGCTGTCCTGCCCTCTGTTCTCCACTTCCCAAAGCTGGGATGGGATGGCAGGTGTGCACAGCATGCCCTGCTGCACACTGCGCACCACACTGTGCACACGAGGTACTACTTAAATACCCGAGGAAGGATGCTACGTGAGGTGCGAGTCCTGACTTCTAGAAGGACAGAGCCCCTGAGTCTCCGTGAGGCCGGTATACTGCAGGCGTGGCCCCACACAGCGTAACTAGAATTCTGCAGGCAGGGTTCCTCACGGCATGGCAGCATATGTTGCTATGGTTCCTCATCGCATAACTACTGTACTACAAGCAGGGTTCCTCATGGCATGACTAGGACACCGAGGTCACAGTCTGCCGTGGCATAACTAGTATACCGCAGGCGCTGCTCCTCATGGCAAGGCTGTCCCGTGCGCCACAGGGCTTTTTACTACCATCACTGAGCTGTACCCACTAGATGTCAGTGGCCTTCCCTTCCCTTTCTTCCTCCACACCCCTTCACATTGATGACAACTAAAAACTATCTCTGGGCACCACCCAGTGTTCTGGGTGTGGGTGTCTAGCACATTCAAGAAGGGCCGTCTACCTGCAGCAATGAAGCCTGAAAAAGACCGAACATGGCAGAGGTTAGCAGGCTGGCAGAGCACAAAAGCCACACACTTGAGCTCAGCTCAGGAATAAATGTTAGGAAGGCAGAAATGAATCACATCTCAGTGCCTATAAGGACCCCAAAACTTCAGTGAGTCCACTTTCCTTCTGGTTTCCAAAGGTCAGAATTTGTAAAAAGCAAAATAATGCTAATTAGCTCAAGTTAAAGGGGAAAAATGTTTACCTATGAGGGCAGTTGGCTTTATCTTTTGAACAATGGCTTCTAGGTTCTTCATTTCTTCATGTTCATGGGCAAACAACTCTTTCTCTTCCGTGAGAGAAGCACGTTTCTAAGTAATGCACAGGAGAAGCAAAATGTGTGGGTTAAAGGCACATCAAATATTATACACTGTTACTACCTCCTGTCCTACGCATGGTTTTTGTTCCTGAAGCCTCTTCTCTAACAGTCACTTTGTCCCTTCTGGTTTTTCTTCTTCTTTTTTTTTTAATTTAAAAAAAATTTAAATTTATTCACTTTACATCCTTATCATAGGCCCCCCTCCCTCGTCTCCTCCTGGTCCCACCTTCCCTCCTTCTTTCTCCCTAGTCCCCTCCCCTAGTACTCAGAAAGGGGGAGGCCTCCTCCCCTACCATCTGACCCCAATTGTATGACTGCCTGCATCCTCTTCCTCTGTGGCCTGGGCAAGGCTGATCCACCAGGGCAAAGGATTAAAGGGCAGGCAACAGAGTCCATGTCAGAGACAGCCTCTGCTCTTCTTACTAGAGGAACCACATGGAGACTAAGCTGCCTATCAGAGCAGCTATATCTGAGCAAGGGTCTGTGTCTTCTCCAAGCATGGTCCTTGGATGGTGCATCAGTCTCTGCGGGGTGCCCTGGACCTAGATTTGTTGGTCTTATTGTGGAGCTCCTGTCTGTCCCCTCTGGGTCCTTCTATCCTCCTCTCTCCCCAACTCTTTCATAAGACTCCCAGTGCTCTGCCCATAGTTGGGTTGTGAGTCTCAGCATCTGCTTTGATCCCCTGCTGGGTGGAGTCTTTCAGAGGACATCCATGGTAGACTCCCATCCTGTTCCCTCCTCTCAACCACTTCTGGTGTCTCTTCTATTTGCCCTCTGAATGGGAATCAAGCATCCTCTCTAGCGTTCTTGTTATTTAGGTTCTTTAGGTCTATGGAGAGACACACATGGTTTATACTCACTAATAAGTGAATACTAGCAATATAATACAGGATAACCATACTATAACCCTTCTCGTTTTTCAAGACAGGTTTCTCTGTGTAGCCCTGGCTGTTCTAGAACTCATTCTGCAGACCATGCTGGCCTCACACTCACAGAGATCTGCCTGCCTGTGACTCCCTAGTGCTGAGATTAAAGGTGTGCACCACCACTGCCCAGCTTTGTTGTCCTTTCAGCCAATATTTGCATGGCAGACAGTGTTTCAGACAGTGGTAAAAAAGCTCTGATGAGAGCTTTGAGACACAGGCCAAGTATAAGAATTGCTATTTCACATATGAGGACACAATTTCAGAGACTTTAAGCGATACAACTATGACAGGGATTGTCTGGAGCTGCCCTTCCACTACAGCATAGGAACACCCTGAAGCTGTGGCTTTCCAAATGCTGGATGCCAGTCTGAAGGCAAATTGTCAGGCTGGAAGCTGGTGCAATTTCCTTGATTTAAAGTGTGTGTGTGTGTGTTCATGTATACAGTGTATGGGCAGGTCAGAGACAACCTTGGCTGCTGGTCCTCACCTTCTACCTTGTTTGAGACAGACCCTCTTCACCACTGCGTACCCCATCAGCCAGGCTAGCTGACTGAATGCAAGCTTCCAGGGGATCGGCTTCCACTTGCCATCTTGCCATATGAGTTGATGGAATTATAGCCATGTGCTTTTAAGTGGGTTTGGGGGGTTTGAACTTAGGTCCTCATGATTTTACCCATGGAACCATTGCTCCAGCCTAATTTTATTTGCTTTTAAAGGCAAATATACAGAATCCTAGAAAATCGAAAGCATATGAACCCATTCTGCTTGTTTCCTTTTCTGTAGACCAGTAGAGCAGAACCAGCACCGCACCAGGTCACAGGGACTAAAGAAATGATGGGAACATGGAACATTATCGACTGTGATAAGAGCTTCTGTGAAGAGGAAAGGAATGGAATTCCAACCATTTACAATTGTGGAACATTTTATCCTAGTCTGCTACAGACTGCTATTTGTGTACCACTGCTTTGCATTAGAAATGTGACACCAGATTCGGTGGCTTCCCAAAAAGAGTTCACCACTGGTCACTGCTTCTGAGAAGCTTTCCCCTCCTTCCCGCTCCTGTATCAACATGCCCTACATCGGAGGCGCCAGGAAAACAACGCTCCTTGGTTCATTTATAATCAACTATGAAACTTCCAGTTCACACCCACTGACACAGAGGACACGAGCAATATTTTCTGAGTTGGAAATTTCAGCCTGTTTTTTGTTTGTTTGTTTTTTGGTTTGGTATTTTTTTCAAGATAGGGTTTCTCTGTGTAGCCTTGGCTGTCCTGAACTCACTCTGTAGACCACTCTGGCCACCTGCCTCTGCCTCCCTGAGTGCTGAGAGTAAAGGGGTACACCACTACACCCAGATTCTTATTCTTTATGTTTCCTTAGAATTATTCTAATTTCCACTCTTATCAGGAAATACCAAATTGTTCACTAAAACTCCTATGTGGTCACTGTGTCTTATGATTAATCCTAAATCTGAAAGTGCTTATTCAATAGAGACTTCTTTGATACTGGAGACTGAGTCCAGGCTCCACACAAGTGAGAAGACAGTTGAGGAATTAGAAAGTGTAGCTGTTAAATGATTTCAAACCTTTTTTTTTTTTATTCAAGAACAGACTGCCCCTTTCTTTCCAATAAAGCAAAATAAATTTAGCAGCACTGTTGAGTTATGCGCCTCTAGCCCCCATAAATTAATTGCAAACTGATTAATAGCATGAAAACACAGACTATTTTCAAGCAATTCTTTTGTGTTTACAGCAAGATTTTTAATTGCTTCTTTAAAACATTTTTTTTAAAAAAACTATGACAATACTGAAAAGTTTATACTTCTTATAAAATCTGGGGACCTTCAGGGCACTCTTACTGAATTGCTCCCATGTTTACGTCTGTTAATATCACAGACAGGAAGCATTTCATTTTCATAGCTCCGTCACAAACATTAGGCAGTACACTGGCATGGAAAGAAATGAGTGAGCCTAATGATAAGTTCTTAGTCATAAACAGGAAGAAAATAGGCAATTGGTATATCACAGAATTTCTCTCAAGTCAGTTAGAGATGTAATGAATCCAATCATTCCCAATCCTGTCCTCTCTTCCTATGTCTGTGCTCTCTGCTATGTAACTCTGCAGGTCTGTCCACAGAAAGCAGACGAAATAAATGCTTTTCAGCTCACCATGTGGTTATAGCTCAAAGAACCCACCCCCAGTTAAAAAGAATTCTTCTTATACCTAACTGTGAAACGGCATAGCTTCTCCCAGCCTACATGAACTATGCTCAGAATGTAAGTGAGGCTCACAACAACCGCAACATCAAACATTGTACTAACAGTGAAAAACAATGGTGTGTGAATGCCAATTCTGCATCAGAACGTTGAAAGACCCTAAGTGGACACAGCAAGTTCGGGGTGTCTGTCTCTTCCTTCCCTGTGTCTTTGAACTAAAGCATGGCTTGTCCTGGTCACTAAAATAAGGGATAGAACAACAGCAACACCCTCAGTTTTATTTTTTTAATGTCCTCTGAACTGGAATACATCTATGTTTCATGCACATGCAATGTCATTACACTAGGTAAATATATTTCTTTAACTGATACAATAATATCCTAAATACTTGAACTTGGTCATTATTTTTTAATTTTTTGATCTCTTTATTTACTGTTTTACAGCCTGATCCCAGGCCCCCTCCCTACTTTCCTCCCAGTACCACCCTCAATCCCTGCTTCCTCTTTTCAGAGAAGGGGAACCCCCCCCAAGGGTACCAACCCCCCCTCTCACACCTCATGTCACAGCAGGATTAAGTGCACCCTCTCCCACTGAGGCCAGACAAGGCAAGAACTGGTGTATCCACCTGCCCCTTTGTGCCTCTGCCATTGTTTGCAGTCTGCCGCTGGGCCACCAACATGGAGCACAGTACAAGGCAAATGTTGACCCATCCTGAAGGCAGTTTAGAGCCACACACAGCAAACAGCAATAGCCTGTCCACTCTGACCCAAAGAGGAGTGAAAAGAAACCACTGTCGTGTCATTAAGATGTTACGATTACTGAGAACACAGCTTTAGGCTACAACACTAGAGTAGCTTCAACAATGACTCTGTGTGTTGCCATTCTTCACCCAATGTTACCATAACAACTTTAGAAGAAGATGGCTTCTTTCCTTGAAATGGTTTAATAATATTAATGCTTCTGCAATCATTCTGCCTCCTCAGCTCCCTTCCTGGTAGGTGGCAAATATCATCTTGCCTTATTAGAAAGCGAAAAGCAATTCTTGTCGTGGAAAAAAAAATTGGAATCATTTGACAGTTATAGTCTTTAATATCTAAATCATTTGTGAACAATTTCTGGAAGCAGTATGAGCTAAAATTCATGGTTAGTTTGAGTCTTAGACAGTGAAATTTCCAGTAAAGACAGCAAATAAAATTCTGGATAGGGAAGGCATATTCCTGGAACAGTAACTCAACTGCAAGCATTCTAAACAAAACATGATATAATTTTGTCTTGCTACTCTCCACAAAAATGCATACCCGCAGTTGCATTTGTAAAAGCAAGAGTGTTTCTGTGGCCCTAGGCGACAAGTGCTACAGAACTCCACATTGCTTCTAGCCTGACCTCTATGCTCCAAGAGCATAAAGGCCAAGCTACATCCACCACTTTCCTCAGCTATCATCATCTGTCCAGAGTCTCTGCATTAAACACAGCAATCACTAAGTGGATGCACCCTCACTCCGCACTGAAAGAGAAATGAGGAACAGAGATAAGGCAGCGGTAGTCATGTAGTATTCTGGCTTAGGTGGCCCAGCAGGCTGCGGGTCTGGGTGACCAGCAACAGATGGCTGCTAAGTAAGTAACAGGTAGCAACCGCTGTGTGCATCAGCTCTCCTGTTTGCGGGTGAACCCGTGGGCAGCACTGTGGATACACAGCATCCTTTCCTAATGCAAATCTGCATCACAAAAACTTTCCCAAAGCTCAGCATGAACCTCTTTCTCAGGGATCTGCTCTTCGGGCTTGTCTCTACACTTGAGAAAACTTGCCTAACTGCACTACCTTCTCTAATAAAGAAAAATAGATTTCAATG